TCCCCCGCTCGGTGGTTCGGCGGGCGAGGGGGGGGGGACGCGGCCCGGTACCCGTGGGGAGGATGGTGAAGCCGCCTTCAGCCCCCGCGCCGGGCCGGGAGGTGGCCGAACCGAGCCGGAGCCGGGCCCGGGCTGGGCTGCTGAGGGGCTGAGGCGGGCCCCGCCGGGTGGTCGTTAGCGGAAGGATGACCACTCCCGCCCTGCTGCCGCTCTCCGGGCGGAGGTTGCCCCCCCTGAACCTGGGGGCCTCCGCCTTCCCGCACCACAGGGCTACCTTGAGACTCTCCGAAAAATTTATCCTGCTCCTTATTCTTAGTGCCTTCATCACCCTGTGCTTCGGGGCGTTCTTCTTCCTCCCCGACTCCTCGAAGCACAAGCGCTTTGACCTGGGCTTGGAGGATGTGCTCATTCCTCATGTGGACACCAGCAAAGGGGGCAAGAACCTCGGCGGCTTCCTCATCCACGGGCAAGGGCACGACGAGCACCGGCACAGGTAGGTAACGGCGGCCAGCGGGTCCCCCGTGGGAGCGGGACCGCGGGTGGAAGGGGAGATGCGTTAGAATAGGTCCTTCCCGCACTGCTGTCGCTCCTCTCTCCGGCATCCTCACGTCCTTCCCGGCGTGTATCAACTTGTGAGCGCTAGCCTTGTGTCCTCCAGCTGCCATATGTAGCTGTGGCTCCATGTTTTCTTTTCTGGCATGGATTTAGCCTGCTGGCTAGCCAGGGCTGGGAGGATAAATAGGAGCTCTCTTCCAGCGACCGATTTATTTCCTCGCCCGAGCCCATTCCCTGGGTCGGTCGTGGAAGGAAGGGGGTTAAGTTCCGGCATTTGTGGAGATGGTGACTGAAAACCTGCTGCATCTTTTCTATAGCTTTTATGTGCTCACCCAAAACAGCTGCTTGTTGCTGAATAGTGCAGTGAGAACTTTGATCTGACAAAGACTTCATGCTGTGACCCAGAGGCTGTCAGCCTGCGACACGCAGGACACAGAACTAGTCTGTGTGGATGGCACAATCGCCTTTTCTGGCCCCTAAAAATCGCTCGTTATAATGCTGTTCCAGACAATTGGAGGTGCGGGTGGCTAAGTTTCCTTGTTTGCGTTTGCCAGTGTAAAGAAACCGGAGATAAAATAGTAGTTAAGAGTAACAAAGGTAAATGTCACGCTGCTCATAGCTTTTTGGGGCCACCTAAAGCTTTGTGCCGTGCAAGCCTCTAAATGTTCAAGACTGGGTCATGTGAAGTTAAGCCTTCAAAACTGAGATTGAGAAAACTTAAATGAGGGTTATACAGTATGTTTGCTGCTAACATACTTTAATTGCTTAAATCCTACCCTAGTGCCTGGATCACAGGGAAGCTGACTGATCTCTCTTCACTGTCAAGGATATATAAAATGTGATGGTGACGGGTGATAAAATATATGCTCTTCCATACTCAAACTAGTAATACAGTGAAATTTAAAGAAAGGTTACTTATGCTGATAGTGTTCCTTTGAGAACGTTTTAAAATATATCCTGTTGACATGACAGAAGAATTATTTAAAGGTTATTTGTGCTAGATTAAAAGGAGAGGGTATAATTGCCTCTTTTTATTCATGTGTTATGGGTGATAAAGTCTACCTGAATACTATGGTATTTTTCCTTAAGGCATCTTTGCCGTTGGATGTCTTGGGGCACTTGTCATGAGCCCTTTCTCCCTAACGGAAAGGGCATGGGTGCTTAGTATTTAACAAGGACTTCTTTTGTCTATGATGTTAGTCGCTGCTGCAGTTAAATGTTGCACAAAATATAGGTTTAGACACTCTCTAATATGCCTCTGAAGTTCTCATCTTTCACAGGCTTTTTGTTTTTTGTGATCTTATTTCTTAGCTTCCCCAGTCGCTGTGGTAGTACATGCAGTCAAAATCAGGGTCTAAAATAGAAGACAGATGATACAAAAAGAAGAGTTCAGAAATTTTCAAAACTCCAGCTGTGACTGTTGTACCTTTTGTTGCCCAGTAGATGGGCTGTAGAAAAAGGCGTTTGTTGATGCCGATAGTTCTAGAGTGTGATGCTCTTGATTAACCTACTTATGTGGGTCCTTTTCAGGTTTCCTCTTTAAGTGTAATTACGGAGGATACAGGTTTAGTAATGAAGTGCGTACTAATTTTTTCTGTCCCGTAGATAAGTAGTAACATACAACTGCCGGAGCTAAATGCATTTTGCTTGTTTGGGATTTGTTCTTAAACTAAGCGGTTATACTGTCATCAGTTAACTCTCCTGTGGTTCCTCCATTAGATATAAATGTGTGTACCTCCCCCCCTTCCCAAATTGTCCCTGTCATGTCCAGTTTTTTATTGCTGCCTTTTGAGTTGCTATTTGAGCAAGAATAGATACTATTCATGTTGTTTTAGCTCTGCAAACCATTGGATTACTCCAAGCATATCTTAACTACTAAAAAAGCCTGCCTGCTTAACCTGCTTGTAAGGCACTTGTGTGAATGCCACAATATGCATTGTGAAGCAAGGTTATGTGCTTTACTGTTGGAGCAATGTGTTTGGCTTATTACCACATAGTCTTATCAACAGGCTATTTGCTAGCTTGGAGCTGTTGTGGTGACTGTTTTCCATAAATGAAAACACCTGTTGCCATTTTCATTGCTCAGTTCCTGCTCGTGGATTACAGGGACATTGACAGATGGTATTTTGAGAAAGTATAGGGTCTTCAGCAGTGAATTCTAGATTACTTGTTATCTCAGTTTGGGAGGGAAAACTTTCTTCAGCTTACTATCAAGGAGCAAAGTCAAGTGTCAGCTACTCTGTAAGTGTTGTTTTTTGGATGGTGCTGAGGAGTTATGGTACAAAAGATCAAGAGAAATTAACCTACTGGTAATACAAAGGAGGATGCGGTCTAAGATGTGAAGTGTGATGATAGATTGACAAGCTGTATTTCCAAGAATTGTGGGTCTTCAGAAGAAATCAGATCAGAGATCTAAGGTCATTCATATGAAGTATATACTTGATCATGAAATGACAGGTGTGTTGATTTGGTGACTAAAGGAAAGTGTTTCTTCTGTGAATGCTCGTATTGACCTCTATCAAATGATAAAACCCACATATCATTATGATGTTTCTCCCTTGGTGTATAGGCTATAATATTTTAATGCTCATTTTCCCCTGCCCCTTAAATTTTGAGCTTTGTAGGCTATTGGAGGATATTCATGTTTCTATCTTCTAGCAAAATATAGCAATGCTGTAGGTAGAGGGTTGTCATGCAGCCATGCTTTAGTGTTGGGTGTACAAACAGTGGTTCTCGCTGGACCTTCTCTGTATTCCTCACATTGCTTTCCCACCTCTTCCCCTGGGCACCCTTGACATTCTTGAGTGTTTTTATTATTATTATTATAGTGGTTGCCCCTTGGCAATGTTCACTTTGCATCTTCCATTAACCTGTTGGGTTTTTTTTACCCCTCCTGTCCCTCTTCACTTCTCCCCTTCCAGGAAGAAAGAGGGGGGGGAAGCCCCACTCCCTTCCTGATGGTCTTAAGTATTTGTTCAAGGATGATAGTGTCCTTGCCTATTGTCCAAAGAAAAACAACTTTCTTGTAAGAAGATGTTTAAAATCTGGAATGTAACTGCAATTTATGTTTTGGGAAATGGATGGGCTGTAGTGCAAGTTAGCACTTATTTTTAGCTGTTCATTTCATGGCTAAGCTCTTCGTGTGCACTTGCAGGATAATGCATGAGGAATGGGTTAATATTGTTGGAAAGGTGTACCACAAAATTTTGCCTCTGGGAGGAGGGATAGTAGAAAAGACTAGTCCAGGACTTGTGAAGATATGTGCATACACACGCTTTTTAAAAATTGATTTCATTTCCCAAAGATGAATTTCTCTCCATTTCAAATAGGATATTGCAGAGGTTCTGGAACGAGAGCAGCACAGTTTTGAAGACACATCTTGCCAAACAAACTTGTGCGTCACTCAAAATTTGTTACACGGTTTTAGCTAACTGTCACTTCTCCTAAACTTCAGCATCTCCCCTGCCACACAAAACCACTTAAGGTGTTTCTCACTACCCAGTTAGTTTCCAGCCGCCGTAGGTATTTTATTCTTCAGTACCAGGTCTGAAAGATAGCTTTGGAACCAAAACAAAACATGCTTACGGTTTCTTGGCATCTCATGTAAATGAGTGAGAATGCAGATGTCCTGTAATCTCCTTGATTTATCATATTTTTTTTGAAATAAGATTATCTGTAATATGGAAATTGAGCAGACTTGTTTCTTTAATGATGTGTCGAGCAGTGGCTCTTTATATTACTTGACGAAAGTTAAGATCATTTCTGTGGTAAAAGTACATTAATCTTAAGGCAACGAATAATGTAATTTTATGAGCTCAAAGCTGCAAAGCCACTTTGTAACAGCACTTGGACTACTGTTGTGCCAACAATTCAGTCCTTCAGAATTTGCAGAGCTGTATCTTCAGCTGCTAGATTCCTGTGTATTACTTCGAGTCATAATTCCTGCCTGTGTTTAAAAAAAACCAAAACACGCACCAGCCCTCATGTCATCAGATTGATAGCAGGTGCTGCTAATACAACTGACCACCGCAACTGCCTTGGCCTCTGTGTGTGAGTAGGTATAGATCAGTGTAAATCATACGTTTGACTTTGCTTCTGTCAAGCTAAGGAATATTGACTTCTGTGTTATGCAAAGATATAAGCTCAACAGTCTGATATGACCAGTTTGGGGTCAGCAGCTGTATGGCAATAGTCTAAAAGTGCTCTTTCTTCTGTTGCTCAATATATGTTTGGCTCTACGGCAGTAGCGGCTGCCGGCTCTACTTTTAGGAGGTGAAAGTAACAAAAATTATTCTGAAGAGCTTTCAGTCTTAATTTCTTCTTTGAAATCCTGCATTTTTTTTTTTTTTAAAGAAACATGAAAGGCTTAATATGCTGCTTCTGAATACCTTTATCTTCTCTGGTCTGTATGACTTAATTAGCCATAGTAGAAGCGGGCAGAGGAGATAATTTAACCTCTATTACTCAGTGGGATCAGTGTCTCCTGTCATCCTCTGCCATGCCATCAAGTATAAAAGTGCTCTTTGCTCTTCCTTTCCCACCTTTACTTGAGGCACAGCTCATTAGTGTAATTAAGAGTATTTGCTATTGTGACTTGGAGAACCTGGTTCTTCCCCTGAAAAATCAGGAGCCACTGTAGGGTCTGGGCCCCAATTCCTTCTCTGTCCAATTTTTCATTGCGTGAAGTTGAGTCTGTCTTCAGAGTAGCTGCCACAGTCTCTCTGAAATGTGGGCACTGAGTTTAAGGTGAGGTGCCTGATCTAGAAGCAAAGCATCTTTCGGGTGCAACGTGCAGGAGATGCAGGTCCTCGTGGTGACACCTATGGAGCTGAAGAGGGCAGGAGTAGTAGGTTCCAAGTCGGGGTTCAGAAACATCTGCTATGTCTAGGGCAAAGAAGTCATTAACTGGTGCCAGTCTTCAGCTGTTGAAGCTATTGC